GGGAGGCAGAAGGGAGGGAGGAGGGAAGGAGAAGGAAGGAAGATAAGGCAGAGGGAAAAAGGAGGAAGAATGATGAAGGAGACAGAGGAGGGAGTAGAGAGGACGAGGATGTGGGCCCCCACGGCGACATGACTGCGACACCCTGAGACACAGAGAACGAGGAGGGAGGGGGCGGGAGGCAGAAGGAGGGACAAGGGCGACGGAAGTGACAGAAATATTTGAACGAGTAAAAACAAGAACAGGAGGACGGCGTGGACGGCGGAGGATGATGAGCCATCAGGACGAAGAGGTCGAAAAGGACGACGATAAATATCTCAGCAGAAAAGGGCCGAACATTCCACCCTCCTGCCTTGCTGGTGGGCAGGGCAGGGAGAAACGTTGACCTGGAGGCCTCTCATATCGACCCCTCGTAGGCCCTAAAATGCGACCTGACTTTGACACGGTGGCCTGAATCATCTCCACTGATGAGCCCATCTTCCACCACCACTACCATAGGTAGGAGAGGGAGGAGGAAGAGGAGGAGGAAGAGGAGGAGGAGGAGGACCTCCTTATCCTCATTTCTCTCCAGTCCTGCCTATGGTAGTGGTGGGGAACTGGCCCCTCAGCCACCTTTCTCTCCTCTGAACGTCTCCGTTCTCGCCCAACCTCACCATAACAGCGGCCGGCCGAGAACCGGAATACCAGCGAGGGAGCTGCCCTCGCAAGCGCCGGCCCAGGAAGCTCGGCGCCGCACTTCTTCGCCAGGCGCGCCTGCAGCAAGCAGGTGCCCGAGATATACGAATGCACATATAGTGTGTATAGACAGAGAGTGGGAGAGGGAACGAGAAAGAGGTATATAGATACCAATGCATCGAGGCAGAGAGGACAACCTACGAACGTAACGACGCGAACACTTACATGCAAACGTGCAAACATAACGCATGTGGATACATCGATACATGGACATAACCAAGTGACCAGCAGGGACCCCAAACAGTGCGGCTCTAGCTATACATATTCGGTGTACAACATACGTGGCGCAATCTAGGTTGTGCGATTTGTGTTGTGCATTATATGTGGTGCAAGATATGTGGCCCAATCTAAATTATGCACCCTATGTGATGCAATTTATGTAGTGCGATACACGTGGTGCAATATATGTGTCACAAATACTGCTGTGCAAGCTATGTTGTGCAGACTAAAAGGTGCAATCTATGTGGTGCAATATACGTCGTGCGCTCTGCGTGGTGCTATCTACGTCGTGCAGTCTACGTGGTGCAATCTATGTGATGCACTTAATTTCTGTTCGCAGTGAGTTGTCCACTCCACTGCTCGCGCAAACATCCCACCAATCCACCCGCAACTTGGTTTGCAAAATCTTTTAGGACCGTGACGGTGGGTACCAAATGGCTCTTGGCAACGACAGCGACGCCGACGACAACAGCGACAACGACAACGACGACGCCGCCGACAACGACTATGACGACACCGACGACGTCTCCAACGACTTCGACGACACCGACAACGACGACGACGACGACGACGACGACGACACCGACGACGACGACGCCGACGCCGACGACGACGACGACAACGACGACGATGACAACGACGACGACGATGACGACGCCGACGACGACGACAACGACACCGACGACAACGACGACGTCAAGGACGCCGACGACGACGACGACGACGACGACGGAAACGACCACGACGACGGCGGCGACGACGACGATGCCGACGTCGACGACGACGAAGACGACGACGACGCCGACGCCGACGACGACGAAGACGACGACGACGTCGCCAACGAAGACGACGACGAGGGAGGAGGCAGGACGACGACGGCGACAACGACGACAACGACGACAACGACGAGGGAGGAGGGAGGACGGCGACGACGCAAACGACGAAGAAGGAGGAAGGACGGCGACGCCGACGACGACAACGACGAGGGAGGAGGGAAGACGACGACGACGACGACAACGACGACGACGACGACGACGACGGCGACGAAATAGGAGGGACGACGACGAGACGCCGCGACGACGACGATGACGCGGGAGGAGGGAGGACGGCGACGACGACGACGACGACGACGACGCAAGAGCGCGCGCGCACGCTTTTGTTGAAAATCCGTGTTGCGAAACATTATGTTTGTGTAGGTTTTTTGGACACACGATTTTGAAATCCTTCCGAAGCCGATGGGTGTTGAAGGATTTCGGCATACGCGCGCGACGACGCGCGCGTCTGCGGCACACGCGCAAGGGCGTTCGACAAATTTCGACATGCGAGCGCGCGAAGCCCGTTCGGTAGCATTTTGTGAAAATCTTGAAAACCCATAGTTTCCTTCAAAGCTGTTTTAGCAAATCAGTGTTGCGAAACCATGTGTTTTTGTATGTTGTTTTGGAAACTCGATTGCGAAATCCTTCCGACACCGAGGGTTTCTGGAGGATTTCGGCATGCGCGCGCGACGACGCGCGCCTGTGCACTTCGTCCCATTTTTTGCGAGGGATTCGTGAAAAAGTGCTATGTTACAACAAAAAAGTCCCCGCGTATCGTTTTTATTTACCAGGGAACCTCAGGGGAACCGATACCGGCCCCCCTGGGGTAGTGTAAATTCATATTTAAGATGGACATGTGGTCAGAATCAGATATGATTTACATACCCGAAAGGGGGACGGATAACGCCGGGGAGGGTAGAGTCTATTTTCTTGTTAGAAAGGAGAATCGACGTGGTGCAATCTATGTTGTACATCCCGTGTGGTGCAATGCATACGGTGCAACCTATGTTGTGAAGGCTACGCGGTGCAATCCATGTGGTGCAATCTCTGTAAAGCAATATTTGTGGTGCAATCGATGCAGTGCATATGTGTTGTGCTATCTAGTGCGGCGGCGACGCCGCGACGGGGCGGCGACGGCGGCCTCATAGCCACCTGACCAGCAGACCGGCCCAAACGACGGGCGGCGACGAGGCGGCGACGGGGCGGCGACGGCGGCCACATGACCGACAGACGAGAGACACAGCCCAGACGACGAGCGGCGACGAGGCGGCGACGGCGACCTCATAGCCGCCTGACCAGCAGACCAGTCCAAACGACGGGCGGCGACGAGGCGGCAACGGGGCGGCGACGGCGGCAACATTGAAGGGGCCCCAGGACACACACACAAATACACACAAATAAAATGATTCCCCATATTTTCCCATGTTTTCTGGGTTTTTGTCTTCCCCCCCACTTCCCATATTTTCCCATATTTTCTGGGGAATCAGCGATTAATTGTGTCTGTGTGTTTTTTTCCCTCCAGAAACATAGCCGACAGACCGAAGCGTTATGGGGGGGAGACGGGAGGGGGCAGAACGAAGCGCCGCCCACCCCAAGACTACCAGCCGGCCGCGTTGCAATTGATCGGGAGCTTCTGCACATAGAAAAAAGGGCGTGCGCTACTAGGCGACAGGAGAATGATCGAGAGGACAATGACCGTGAAGATCAGGAGGGCGAGGCTCGCGAGGGGGAGGATCAGGAGAGCGAGGGTCACGCGGGTAAGGATCAGGCGAGCGTGGAGCAGGAAGGTGAGGATGTGGAGACTGAGGGTCAGGAGAGCGAGGATGGGGAGAATGAAGATCAGAAGGGTGAGGACCAGGCGAGTATGTGGAGCAGGAAGAGGGAGGATCGGCAGAGTGGAGACCGACAGAATGAGTATCACGAGAAGAGCGAGGATCAGGATAATGAGAATGAGGATGAGAAGAGCGAGAGTAAGGATAATGAGCATGAGCACGAGCATGTCCCCTCCTTCTTCTCCTCGTCCTCATCCTCATCCTCATCCTCATGATCATCATCATCACCATCATCATCATCATCATCATCATCATCATCATCATCATCATCAGCAGCAGCAGCAGCAGCATCATCATCATCATCATCATCATCATCATCATCATCATCATCATCATCATCATCATCATCATCATCATCATCATCATCATCATCATCATCATCATCATCATCCGCAGCATCAGCATCATCATCACCATCACCATCATCAGAACCATCATCAGAACCATCATCATCATAATAATTATCATCATCATCAGCAGCAGCATCAGCATCAGCATCAGCATCAGCATCATCAGCATCAGCATCAGCATCATCATCATCATCATTATCATCATCATCATCATCATCATCATGATCATCAGCATCATCATCATCAACATCATCCTCCTCCCGGCGTCGGGCCCGGGGAGACTCAGCGCGCCGGGGGTCGACTTTGCGAGGATGTCTCGAACGAGAGCCCCGCTGGGACACGCCCGGCGCCCAGGTGCGCGCCCCGCGGAGATGTTCCTTGGGGGCGCGGTCGGGCCTGACCTCTTCACGCGCCAGGGGTCGACTTTGCGAATACGTCTCGGGCGGGAGCCCTGCTGGGACACGCCCGGCGCGGCCCGTTGCACGCCCCGGACATGGTCCCTGGAGGCGGCGCGGTGGGGCCTGATCTCCTCGCGCGCCCGGGGTCAGGATGACGCGAGTTCACAGAATTCACTCACGTCATGCTGGACACACTGCGGCAGTGCCAGGAACGCGCTGAGAGAGGGAAGGGGCGTTACGTTATGGGGGGGGAGGGCGGGGGAGGGTAGGGGGCATAGCGCACGTGATGGCCCAGAGGGAACAAAAACACTCGCTTGATCGTGTCGTGAGCTTCTGGAACCACCTTAGGCAGGACGCTGCTGCGCGCACATCCTCGGAAGGTGGGCACGCGACGGGAGGTCCCTCCCAGGGAAGACGCCCTGGGGGTGGGGCCCTGCAGTCGGGCCTCGCCGCCTGGGAGGGGGGGAGGGGGGGGAGAGAGGGGGGGCGGGGGGGGAGGGGAGGGGGAGAGGGGAGAGGAGGGAAGGGGAGGAGGGGAGGGAGGGAGGAGGGGGGGAGGAGGGGGAGAGGGGAGAGGAGGGAAGGGGAGGGAGGTAGAGGGAGGAAGGGAGGGGAGGGAGGAGGGAGGGAAGGGGAGGGAGCAGAAGAGGTGGTGGCGGCGGCGGCGTGCTGTAAGAGTCGAGGTCGACCAGCACGAAACTAAAGCAACTCAGACACATGCAAGCACTCCCCAATCAGATCACTCACTACAAGCAGCTCTCAGATCACGACCAGCGCGACGAATCCATACAACATGTTCTCTCGGAAAGAGTCCAGCAGCTGCTGCCACCTCTGCGAGGTCAGCCATAGGCAGCCCCTGTGCCTCATGGGTGCCCAGGACGGTCTGCAAGCGAATCCCAGGAGAAGACGAGCCCCAGTTCCCTAAGTGTTCCAGATATCGAAGACCTATCGCACCACCATTCATCATAGCACACTGTCGCACTCATCTTGCTGACAAAATATGTGTTGCACATCCTCTCGCTGCTGCTCCTCCTCACGCTGCTGCTCGCCTGGCCGATGTAAGTCACTCAGACGATGCAAGTCGTCCTCAAGATGTACGGCCTCACACTGTTGATCGCAAATGCGCAGTTGAAGACCCCACGTCTGTTGATTATCCTTACGCCGTACATCGTCCACACGTTGTTGAACATCCTATCGCTGATGATCGCTCACACACTGTAAATCGTCCTCATGCTGCTGTTCATTCTCACGCTGTTGATCATCCTCTGGCTGGTGGTTGCCTGTTCGCGGTTGATTGTCCCGCTGTCGTTGATCATCCTCACGCTGCTAATCGTCCACACGCTGGTGATCGTGATCACGTGGGCGTTCGTCCTCACGATGTTGATCGCCCACACGTTGTTGAAGATCATTTCGCTGTAGATCATTATTACGCGATAGATCATCCACACGCTGTTGAACATACTCTCGCTGTCGAGCGTCCTCTCGCTGTTGATCATCCACACGCTGTTGATCGGCATCAGGCTACCGATCGGCATCACGCTGTTCGTCATAATCACGCGGCGCTCGATCGTACACTCGTAGTTGACTGTCCTCACGTTGTAGATCATCTTCACGCTGCTGATCGTCCACACGCTGAACACGTCCTTACGCTGCTGCTCTTCCTTATGTGTTTGATATTCCACATGTTGTTAATCGTCCTCTCGCTGTAGATCGTCTTTGCGTTGCTGATCATCTTGATGCACTTGATCTTCCACACGCTGCTGATCATCCTTTCGATGTAGATCGTCCTTACGGTGAAGTGGATCGTCCTCACGCTGTTGATCATCGTTACGCTGCTGAATATCATCATGCCATGCGTCTACCCGTGGGATCAACACGTCCAGAGAAAGCTGAGGCTCCTGTTTCTGATGATGTAGCTGCCAGATCTCGAGTCTCGATGGCACGCCGCGCCATCGCCAGGAAGGAGGAAAGTACGCGTGCAGGGAGAACGAATGCAGGAGCAAACGCCACCGTGGCCAACTCAAGCCGCATGGCTTGAGCCAAAAGGGAGGAAGAGGATGGAAGGGAGGGAAAGGTGACTACCTACCAGACCACCCCAACCCAACCCGAAGACCCGAATTTCGGGTTGGGGGGGTATGGGTTCCATACGTGTTTTTTCGATGTTCCCGGACCCCCCCCCCCCACTAGAAATCGAGGGTAAATCTGACCCTTCGGGTTGGGTTGGGGTGGTTTGGTGGGTGGTGAAAAGGGGGGACCGACGAGCGGAGATGGGGGAGAAGAAGGAAGGGGATAGGGGGGGGAGGGGAGGAGGGGCGAGGGGCGGAGGGGAGGAGGGGAGGAGGCCCGGCAGGATGGGGAGGAGGGGAGGAGGGAGGGGAGGAGGGGAGGAGGGGAGGACGGGAGGAGGGGAGGACGGGGAGGAGGGGAGGGGGGAGGGGGGAGGGGGGGGGAGGAGGGGAGGACGGAGAGGCGGAGGAGGGCAGCCCCCCCGGCGCCTGGTCGTGGGCGATCTCCTGGGCCACCCCGGCGCGCTTGTGCTCCCGGGCGGCCTGAGGGCCCCACGGTCCGCCGCCGCTCTCGGGGCCGCCGCTCTCGGGCGGCGGGGGGGGGGGGGGAGCGGCGAGGGAGGCGGGGGCCAGGGAAAAAAAAAGGCTGGAGGCCGTCACGTGCCGCAGCTTCACGCGTGGAGGGGTGGGGAGGGGAGGGAGGGAGGGAGGGAGGGAGGGAGGGAGGGAGGGAGGGACGAAGGAGGAGGAGGAGGAGGCGGCGGCGGAATGAACGGAAGGAGGAGGAGGAGGAGGAGGAGAAGGAGGAGGAGGGTGAGGTATGGGGAGGGAGAGGAGGTGGAGGAGGTGGAGGAAAGGGGGGAGAAGGGGGGAGGAGGACCGCAAAATCGAGGCCCGTCCCAAGCGCGGAGGAGCTGGAGAAGGAAGATCGACGAAGGATGAGGAGGATGAGGAGCAGGAGGAAGAGGAGTACACGACGAAGGAGGAGTTGGCGGTGGCGAAGGGAGGGACAGAGGGAACGAGAGAGAGGAAGAGAATGAGATGGATGGAGGGAGAGCTGGAGAAGGGTCAAAAAGAAGACCCACGGGCCGATTTTGACCGGAGTCTGGCCGCCGTTGTCTCGCAGCCGTTGTCTCCACTGGCACTCCTACGCGAAGGTGACGATTATTATCCCGCTTAGGGTGCTTGAACTTCCAGAGAAAGATTCACCTTCGATTGATGGCGCAGCTCGGGGAGCTCGAGTGGTTGAATATCCCAAGCCAGGCCAAGAGCGCGAGCGAACCTGGGGCTGGTCTCCGTCCAGGGATTGGCGGCGCTGTGGGCTCATCGAATGAGAAGCGAGGAGGGCGGGAGGAGGGAGGAGAGAGGAAGGAGAAAGGAGGAGGGAGGAGAAGAGAGGGAGGGAGGGAGCAGGGAGATTGGCCATGGTCCTACTCCTTCCTCCCTCCATCCCTCATCACGCAATGCCTCTCCTACACCCTCACCCTATCCGCTGCCTCCTCCTCCTCCACCTCCTTCTCATCAGCAGCGTCATCAACATGACCATTTACCATCCGCAATATCATCATCATCATCAGCCTCATCATCATCATCATCATCATCATCATCATCATCATCATCATCATCATCATCATCAGCAGCAGCAGCAGCAGCAGCATCGTCATCATCATCAGCATCATCAGCAGCATCAGCATCATTAGCAGCCTCATCAGCATAAGCATCATAATCAACAGCATCATCAGCAGCAGCATCATAATCAGCATAATCAGCATCAACATCAGCATCAGCATCAGCATCATCATCAGCATCATCGTCTTCATCAGCAGCACCATAATCATACGCATAATCGTCTTCAGCGTCACCATCATCATTATCAGCAGCAGCAGCATAAGTATCATCAGCATCATCATAATCAGCATCAGCATCAGCAGCATCATCATTAGCAGCATCAGCGTCAGCAACAGCATCAGCATCGTCATCCTGTGCATCCTTATCAGCAGCATCAGCAGCAGCATGAACACCAGCGTCATCATCGGCGACAACATCATCAGCAGCAGCATCGTCAACATCATCGTCATCATCGTCATCATCTGCAGCAGCATCATCATCAGCATCATCATCAGCATCAGCATCAGCATCAGCATCAGCATCCGCATCATCAGCATCATCAGCATCATCATCATCATCATCATCATCATCATCATCAAGTTCATAAGCATCATCAGCATCATCATCTTCATCAGCAGCATCATCGCCATACGCATCATCGTCATCATCAGCATCATCATCAGCATCAGCATCATCAGCATCAACAGCATCAGCATCTGCATCATCATCATCATGATCACCTTCAGCATCATCATCAGCAGCAGCATCGTCATCATCAACATAAGCACAAACGTCAGCAACCTCATAATAGTCGACTTCATCGCCGCCAAGGCCATCGTCATCATCAGCAGCATCCTCATCATCATCCTCATCACCACCACCACCACCATCATCATCGTAATCATCAGCATCATCATCGTCGTCGTCAGCGTCGATGTCGTTGTCGGCGGCGGCGTCACCACCACCACCACCACAACCACCATCGCCATCATGTCGTCATCGTCATACCCATCATCAACCTCAACAGCATCATCATCCTTATCAGCAACATCACCCTCGTCTTCAGCCTCATCGCCATCACCATCTGTCTTCAGCCAGCACCCGAGGTGGCGAGGACACGTCACCGACGCTGCCGGTCGTCTACATCGGGTTCAGCGACTACCCATACCTCTACGCAAAAGAACTGACGTGGCACAGTCTCTGGCCGCCTCCCTGATCGTAGTCGGGTCTGATCTGGGCGCGCCGTCCAAGCTCAAGCTGCACGACTACAACCAGGCACTCTTTGCGGCGTTGATGCCAAGTGGGCGACAGTGGACATGTCAGCGGATCTTGACGAGCGTCGTACTGAAGGGCCACCTGCTTGACCTTAGTGGGCCCCGGAAACGGCAGGGCCATTTGTTCACCGTTTCCGAAAAATCCCACCAGCCCTTTGGGCGTGAGTGGTTTAGGGAGCTCTCTCTGTTCTCAACCCCCCTTCTTCCCCTTCGGGGAGGGGTTTACCCCTCCCCCTACCCCCTCCCCCTGGGCCTGGAGAGGGCGTTCCGCGGGTCGTCAGGGGGGTCATTTTCGACTCCTGGGAGGGCTAAAAAACGACACCCCTCACGAGGATTCTGGCCCCGACGGGGGGAGGCAGAAAAAACCCTCTCCTCTTCTTTGAAGCCAAAATCATTGATTGTACTACGGTTTTGGCCCCATTTTGGCCTTCTGAGGGGGCAGCGCTCATTACAGCTCTCCTTTTCTTTCAAGGCAAAATCATGGATTTTACGAAGGTTTTGGGCCCATTTTGCCCTTCTGAGGGGGCAGCGCTAATTAAAGCTCCCCTCTTCTTTGATCGATTTCCTCCTAGATGGCCCCAAGAAGCGCCCAGGAGGCACCAAGAGGCCCCAAGATGGCCCCAAGAGGCCCCCAAGAGGCCCCCAAGAGGCCCCCAAGAGGCCCCAAGAGGCTCCAAGAGGCCCCCAAGAGGCCCCCAAGAGGCCCCCAAGAGGCCCCCAAGAGGCCCAAGAGGCTCCAAGAGGCCCCCAAGAGGCCCCACGAGGAGCCCGAACGACTCACACCAGGACGAGGGGCCCGACTCACAACGCCCGAACGACTCACACCCAAGGAGGGCCCGAACGACTCACACCAGGACGAGGCGCCCGAACGACTCACACCACGAGAGCAGCCGAACGAACTCACGAACGACTCACACACGACGCGGGCCCCGAACGACTCACACCACGAGGAGCCCGAACGAGTCACACCAGGAGGAGGGGCCCGAACGACTCACACCAGGATGAGGGGCCCGAACAACTCACACCACGAGAAGCCCGAACGACTCACACCAGGACGAAGAGCCCGAACGACTCACACCACGAAGAGCCCGAACGACTCACACCAGGAAGAAGGGCCCGAACGACTCACACCAGGACGAGAAACCCCAAACGACTCAAATCAGGAGGAGCGCTTTCTCTCCCTCCTCCTCCGCCTCGTCCTTCTCCCGCTCCCCCCACAAGGAGGATGTACAAGGAGGCGGGAGGAAGGAGGAACAGGGGAGATATGCGGGGGGCAAGCGGACACACGCCTGAAAAACACGACTGTCGGCATGCTTCGCAAGAGTTGCTGTTGTGAGATGGGCTGGTGGGGATACGCGAAGCGTAAAGAATGCCTTGAAACTGGGAATGGGAGGGAGGGAGGGAGGAGGAGGAGGAAGAGGCACAGGAGGAGCAGGAGGAGGAGGAGGAGCAGGAGGAGGAGGAGGAGGAGACGGAGGAGGAGGAGGAGGAGGAAGAGGAGGAGAAGTAAGAGGAGGAGGAGGAGCAGGAGGAGGAAGAGGAGGAGGAGACCCCCACCACCACCTCCGCGTCGATCGCGCGAGATGGAGTTCGTCTTCTACTATGGAGGTGGTGGTCGGGGGGATACGTGACCTAGGCCTCGGCACGTTCTCTTTCGGCCCCGTGGGACCCGCCTCCTTCCCCCTCTTCGTGGCCCATTGAGGTTTACTCGGATCCTTCCTCCTCCTCGGCGGGGCCTCGGGCCCAGAGGCTTTCCCCCAGAGGCGCCAGCCCTCTGACTCAGCCACCCGCTGAGTCAGAGGGCGGGAATCGGGCCACGACGGGCGGGCTCGGGACAAAGCTGGGCGCGCTTTCGGCGTCGCGCCGCGCGCGGCGGCGCGGCGCGGGCTGCGGCGGACAAACCGCTATGCCCGCAGTGTCGCAGGAGGAGGAGAAGGAAGAGGAGGAGGAGGAGGAGGAGGAGGAGGAGGAGGAGGAGGAGGAGGAGGAGGAGGGAGGCGGGGGGAGGCGGGGGGAGCGAGGAACCAACACGACACTGGCCACTGGCGCTCGAGAAGTGCAACCGAGGAGGGTACAGAGAGACTGGAGGGATGCAGCCGCAGCTGCTCACGTGACCAACAAAGGCCACCGATGAAACGACACCTGTAGGAGAACCAGGCTATGCTTGACACACGCCCGCCATCGGCACGGAAAGAAGGGGCACGATACCCAACAGCAAATGCTGTCCAAAACCGCAGCGGCCGCTGCTCCGCAGACGACCTTGGCCGCACATGGGCAAAGACGTCCGCGGCGACGCTGGCGGTGAGTCCTGCTCAAAATGGGCAAGCACTGAATGTGGCCTTCGTCCCCACTCTTTCCGTGCACACCTCGATCGAACCGACGGGCTGGTCTTTCTCACGGCGCACACATCCCCATGGGATCCTCGGCCGGCACCTCCGCATGCACTGGGTCGCACGGGTGGCAGAACCAGGCGATCAGCAAGTACCGCGTCTCCGCCCCCTGGTGCCGCACGCTGTTGGAGGAAGAAAAAGCGGCACAAATATCAAGTGCCAGAGCTCCTCGCAGATTGCTTGAATCAGAGCTGGGGGACAACATCGGGATGTGCCCTCAAGAATCCAGGGAGTCCTCAGGAACGGAACCGAGAAAAGGCGATGCCAATCACAAGGATAAGGATGTGTACAAAGCTGGTATATTCAGGAAACGACAAATCACATGAACACAAAAACTCGGAGGTCCGCGCGGATTCTTGGATCCGCGCTGGACCCCCCTCCCTGGCGCGCGGAGCGCGCCAAGGGGCGGCGCCGGAGGCGCCGCCTGGGTGCCCCAGCTCCGATCCGAGAATTCCGCGCGGACGCGGACCTCCGAGTCGTTCGTTCCCCTGGATTGTGCCGATGCCGCGTTCTCTTCCTCGAGCTGTGGATGTACGTGTCGTCGAAGACCACGGCCTCGCCGTCCCGCCAGACCACGGTGCGGTTGCCCACGGCCATGCTCGCCCCGGGGGGCACGCGCAGCCCCAGGTGCACGCCGAGCCGCGGCGGCGCCGTCCAGAAGTGGGGCTTGATGCCCATGCCGGGGGCCAGCCTCGGCTGGCTGCTCGCTCGAAGTTTTGAGGCTCTGGGCTTTCGAGCGTTCTCACCGGCTCTCGGCGGCCCACCTGCCTCGGAGTGCTCTCCGGCGGCTGCGCCTCGCCGAGAGGCGTCCGGGGCTGCCCGGATCGCCCCGAACGGCCGCCGGAGGCCCCAAGTATTACCCGAAAGCCACCAGGGGACCGGCTCCGGGGGGGAGACATCGAGCTGCCCCCCTCGTCTCGGTTGTCGGATGGTTGCGTGATCATCGACCCCTAACCAAAACCAAAGCATGGCTGCCCAGATTGGACATTACGTATCAACTCTCTGTCGCTTCTCTGGATGGGGCAATAATAACCCCCCGTTTTGATACGCGGGGGGGCACGTGCTGTCGGAACGGGGTGGAGGGTGGGTTGGAGGAGGAGGAGGAGGAGGAGGAGGAAGATGATGATGAAGGGAGCAGGAGGGGGGATGGGCAAGCTCCCTCGTAAGGTCAACCACCCCCGACACTTAGCAAATACACCATCAAGAGTAACGAAAGACAGAATTCTGCCCGTGTTGGACATAGATGTACAACTCGCTGCCGTTATATGAATTCTGCACCGCGTCTACATCGCATAGCAGGGGGGGGCTGGGAAGGGGCATGCCAGTCCTTGACAAAAACCTTGCCCCGATGTGTGGCCGCCGCGATGGCCGCGGCGACCTTCAAACCGACCTGGAGGTTTGGTTCGGGGTCGGATATCACGCAGCGATCGGGAGACCACCGTGGGCGGCGCGCAGAAGAGGGTGGCGCGCGGGGGGGGCGGCACTCTAAGAAGGCGGGGGGCTTCTTAGAATAGAAGGCACAGGCATCCGTAGAAGGTCCCGCCGGCCCCTGAGAAGGCTGCTTTCGGGGATCTTCTGACCAGGGTCAATCCAGACCCGGGTCAGCAGGAAACCAAAAATTGCAATGCAAGAAAAAAAACTGCAACGCAGATCTTCGCAAACACGGGTCAGCCAATATGCGCGGCCGCCTCGCGGCCACGAGCGGCTCGCTAACCCGGGTCAGCCAGAGGGGGTCTTCGCAGGATCCTGCAGGATCTGGTGCCCTGGCGGACCCCCGTTTGCATTGACCCCCGTCTCAAGGCTCCCGATGCTTGGAAGCTGTGATGGCTCCGGACAAGGCCCGCGCCGTCTCAGAAACTCCCCCTCTCCTTCTTAGAATTAGGTCGGGCGTGTCGTCCTGCAGGCGGATTTGGGTCGAAAAATCAAAAACAGTTCAAAAAAACCCTTCCAAAAAAAAAGACTCTAAAATACTCACCAAAATCGTCCACAGACTATTGTTTGACTACTTTTGAATAATCCTCCTCTAGAAGGGGCACGCTCGACGTAGTCTCAGGATGCCACCCGCCTCGCGCCACCCCCATGCGCGCACCACCACTGCGAAAGGGGCCCCGGGACACGCAAATAAACACGCACAGACCCCAGGATTCCCCAGATGTTCTCATACTCTCTGGAGTTACCCCTCCCCCCCCCCATCCACCTTCCCATACTTTCCCAGAGCTTCCTGGGGATCGACGTAATCTTGTGGCTGTGTGGTTGTTCCCCCTCCTGGCTGTGTGTTTTCCCCCCTCCCCCCCCCCACCCACTTCCCATACTTTCCCATATCCTCCTGGGCATCGACGTAACATTGTGGCTTCCTGGAAATACAGAATGACATGGGCACGAACATGCTCGAAAGTCGGCGCGGACCTCCCCGAGGCCGGCGCAGAGCCTCAAGGGGTCCGCGCGGACCTCCCGAAATGTGTGTACGCTCCAGTGGCTTCCTGGACCCCAGGCAGCCTGGCGAAGGCGGCGCCGACGTCCTTGGCGGGGATGGACAGACCTCCCTTTAGTAAAACGTGGTTTAGTGAAAACGACCTGAGGCCCAAACCTGGTGGGCGCAGGCTTGGAAAATGACGGCCACGGCGCCCTCTCGAGAACCGAAAACGGACAATTCACTAATCGACGTGTCACTGTTGGGGGTTCTGTCCACCCCCGACCTTGGCGTCGCAGCGCGCGATCTCCGGCCTCGTCAGCAGCAGCTCGCAGCTCCTGTTGGCCACCTCGCACGCGTGCGGCGCCAGCTCACGGTTGTGGATGAGGTTCAGGGGCGCCCAGGACTCCCTCCTGCCGCTGAACTGGGTCATCGGCGGGGAGGGGGAGGAGTCGACCAGCGACACTGCCGCTCGAGGATCGCAGGCTAGAGTTAGGTCGGGCATGTCCCCATACAGGCGGATTTTAAACGAAATTAAAAATAGTAACAAATACACCAATATCTATATATATATATACACACATATACTAGAACCATCGCGCGCGCGCTTCGCGCGCGCTCAAGTTCTAGCTGGGATCCTCGTAATCGTCACCATTGCCATCCTCATCGCCAGCATCTTCATCTTCATCGTCATTGGCATCGTCATCACCACCATCACCATCACCATCAACACCATCATCATCACCACCACCATCAACAACACCATCGTCATCACCGTCGTCATCATCGCATTCGTCATCATCGTAATTATCGTCACATGCATCACCATCATCATCGTCATCATCATCATAATCATAATCATAATCATCGCATAATCCTCATCCTCATCATCATCATCATCAGCAGCATCAGCATCAGCATCATCAGCATCATCATCACCATCATCATCAACAACAACAACAACAA